GGGGATTCACACCTCTGTGTAGGCCTTTCCCATATTGTACCAGGGTTGGTCTGTGCAAATGAAATACAGTAAATGGCAGCGTGAAACTCTATCACTTCTGAGATGAGGCTATAAACGAGTGTGACTTCTGCGATGGAATCTTCTCTCTCTCTCTCTCCCCATCACCACTTGCTTTGGGGAAAGCCAGCTGCCATATTCTGAGGGCACTCAAGCAGCTTATACAGAAGATCTGGTGTCAAGGAAGCTAGGGAGGAACTGAGGCCTCCTGCCCTCAGACACAGGAGGGGGTCTTCCAGCCCAGGTGTGCCTTCTGATGGTGGCATCCCTGGTCTCAGCTTGACTGCAAACTCATGAGAGACCTTGATCCACCAGCTAAGCTGCTCCCAGAAAGTGTGTATAACTGTTTGTTGTTTTAAGCTGTGAAGTTTTGTACAATTTGTTACACAACAGTAAATGAGGAATACAGTGGGCAGATAGGGTAGATTTCAGTGCTTCCCCAGCAGTTCCGATGTGCAGCTGAGCTCCAGTACCGTGGCCAGCAGATTCATCTGCTGATAGTTTACTGAGGGCAAAGCACGTCCAAAGTGTGTGTCATGGAAACGTATGGTATGTGTATGTGTGCTGTGTATATATGGGTGTATATGTGTGTGACGTATGTGTGTGCATATGTGTGGTGTATGTATGTGTGCATAGGATGTGAGGGGATGTGTGTGAAGTGTATATGTGTGTGCATGTACATGTGTGGTGTGTGGTATGTGCAGTGTATATGTGTACATGTGTGGTATGTAATGTGTATGTTTGATGTGTGTGGTATGTGTACGTGTGTACGTGTGTGACAGATGATGTGTAATGAGTGTGTGTGTGTGCACATGAATATCAAAGCCCTTCTGCTCCAGCCAGACAGTGGAGACAGTGGGTGAAGGCCTCCACTACCAGCCACCCCGAAGAGCTTAGCATAACATGTGGGCCCTGGAGAGCCCAGAATTCTCACTGATTTACCACTCCTTGAAAAAAAAACAAAAAATAAGAAAACTCTAGAATGTGAAACCTCAGAGGGACCTTAGTCTGATGATGTTCAAAATTTGTTTAGCAGTAGAATTGTTTCTCCACATGAAACCATGTTAGTAACCTGATTTAGAGGCACCGGCCAAACAGTTCTAGGTGGGCCCAAGTGGGGGCCTCTGGAGCTTGCTGCTTCCACCTCCCCACTTCCCCCAGCAGCACCCAGGGGCACCCCAGGAGAACCTTGAGGGCTTCACAGATTGCAGACCTCTGATCTAATACAACTGTGTCATTACGCTGATGAGTAAACTGAGGCCCACAGAGGTGAGATCACACACACGGCTCTGGCAAATGTCTAGAAGTGGATTCTTCTGACCTCTAGTCCAATCTGTCTCCACTGCCTGGAAGGCCGCACAGGAGAAGAATCAACCAGGGCCTTGGTAACCCATGAACCACGGTTCATCATCCGAGCTTCTGACCAGCAGAAATGCCCTCTTCACCAAGAAACACCTCACCTGGGGGATAGGGGCAGGAAATCACCCCCTCCTTCCTCTTCTTAACAGAGCAGGCCCCCCATAGCCTGGTCCACCCTCAGAAGGTGGGGCTTGACTGGCAGTGTGGAGTCCTGGGAATAACTACAGCAGAGGCCAGCACAGCACCCACTGTGCGCTGGGCGCCACCCTCAGCCCTCGAGTGAATGAATGTGCTTGATCTTTCCAGCCCCCTATAAAGTAGATATGGTTATTTCCCTCATCTTACAGAGGAGGAAACTGAGGCAGAGTGAGAATAAGTAACTAGCCCAAGACTCCTGGGCTAGTCAGTGGCAGGGCTGGGATTCGTGGGTCCAGACACCAAGCCCTTGACCGCCAACCTCCCACCCAGCCAGTAGCCCAGCTCTCCTTTCTCTTCTGAGCAGAAACCAAAGGTCCTCCATTTTGTACCCTAGAGGAATGAGGAAACAGTCACCAAGCAACACTAAATGTCAGATCTGCTACTTTTCCAGCCATGACTCCCAAGCTTCTGGCTCAAAGGGCACCAAGTGGTCAACACCCTACCTAATGCAGGGGGCATCTGGTTTCTCACCTAGATCGAGGTCTCTCAAATGTACTTCTTCTATCAATGATGAATGCTCTTGGCATTTAGAAATGGAGTGATGAGGTGGTCACTTCCTAGTACCTTACCCTTTTTTTCTCTTGCGTCAAGGCTGGCTTTCCATTAGCAGTGATAATTTAATACAGATCCAGCCCAGAGGGTGTTTCACGAGCTGATACACTGCCTGTGACTTATACATCACAGCCTCGGCCCTACTGATTGATTCTTTTTCCTGTCAAATTTATAGGAAAGTGCAAGAACTGTACAAAGAACATTCACGTCCTCCTCAACTGTTAACACCTCCCCATGTTTGCCCTCTCTCTCCCTCTGTGTCTACACACCATTATCATCAATCTCTTTATAAACCATTTGAGAAGACACTGCAGACACCAGGCCCATATCCCTCAAACATCATAGTGCATACTTCTCAAAGTCAAGCACACTCGCCCACATGACCATCACACTGCCTCTAAGTCGGGAAACTGACGTCGAAGCAACACTGTGCCACCCACAGACCCAATTGCATTCTCCAACTGTACCAACAAGGTCAGGATTTCCTTCTGGTCCAGGAATTCAGCAAGGAACACATGTTGTATTTAGTCATTTGCCTCTTCAGTCTCCTACAATCTGGAAGACTTCCTCAGTCTTTCCCTGTCTTCTGTGTCCAGGCAGTTATAGAGAGTGGTCCTTACACTACTTTCCAAACAACCAGACTCAGGCTGTGCTTTCTTAGAAAGAAATGATGTTGGGTTTTCTGTGTGGCACATCAGGGGGACACAGTGTCCACCTATCCCATCACTAATGATGTTCTCTTGATCACCTGTTCACGTTGGGGCCTGCCAGATTTCTCCACAATAAAGTCATCATATTTCTCTTTGTAATGAGGTGACCTCTATGTGTGCCCCAGTTCATTTCCCAGAAAGTTTCCAGTCTGCAACACAGGGAGGGCAGTCCAGGGCCCAGTCATCTCAATGAGCTAAGACGACAGGGTTCAAAATCCATGGAGTCCAAGACAATTTGATTTGCAAGGCAGAGTACTAGAGAGGAGAGACCAACATACAGAGATAAATCCAGAAATCCTAGCCTCTCAAGTCTTTGGCTGAGTATTAATTTGTCCATGTGTAAGGAAACTTTCGAGGCAAGGAATAGATAGAACAATCCACTGAGATCACACAGGGCTGAAAATAAGTTGGTGTTTCTCCAGCCAGGGGGGAAACACCTTCTAATACACAGAGCACTGGATGGCAATCTCAGAAGGGTATTTATTCAGCAGTGGAGCAAAATGTGTCCTACACTAAAGTCTTCCCACCCTAACAAAGCTTAAAAGCAAGTCTTGAAAGGATCAAACTGTTTTTATGTAACTTAACTGTGATCCAGAACAAACTCCAAAATATTTAAAGGGATAAAAAAAAAATTAGCACCCAGTAATGTAAAGGTTCTAACATCTGACATTTAACATCAAATTACCAAGCATGTAAAAAAAGGTATGGCCCATAACCAAGAGACAAATCAATGAATAGAAATAGACTCAGAGATTATATGGATGAGAGAAGTAGTAGAGAAAGCCTTAAAACAGCTATTGGGAATAGGTTCTATATACTCCAGAAGAGAAAGCATGAGGAAGGGAAGATACACGTATACATTTTTTAAAAAGCCCACAATGACCTTCTGGAGATAAAAACTATAATATGTGAAATGAAAAATATACTGAATGGGATTATCAGTAGATTTCACACTGGAATAAAAGATTAGTGAACTTGAAGACATAGCAATAAAAACTATCCAAAATGAAACACAGAGAGTAAAGAAAGACTTTTAAAAACCAAGTAGAGCTTTGGTGAGCCATGGGAAAAGATGAAGAAGCATAGAATACATACAATTGGAACCCCAGGGTTGAGGGAAAATGGAAGGAATAGTGGCTGAAAATTTTCCAAATTTGATGAAACTATAAACCTACAGATCCAAGAAACTCAATAAATCCCAAGTGGGAGAAACATGAAGAAAACCACAACACCAAGGCACATCATAATCAAATAGTTGAGGTCTTAACTGCATGCTTATTGTCTCTCATTGATAGGCCCAAGGCATGAACAGAGAAGAAACAAAATGGCACAGGCACCAGGAAGAGATGAATGGATATAGGTAAAATAGCAAGAGAAGAATCAGGAGAGAAGGGAAGGGTGGCACAGTGGAGTGTGGTAGCAGGTCATGGTCACTGGCAGTGGCAGGATCAGTCACTGTGGAGGGTCCACTGCTTTTACAACCCTGCAGCAGGCCCAGTCTCATTCCTGAGAGCAGCTAGACTCCTGCTGTTTCCACCAAAAGTCCAGCACTATAAGCATCTAGAGACCTGGATTCACTGAGTGAATCCTCTTTGTCCTGGAACCTGGCCCTGATTCCAGGAAAGAGGCCCAATCAATAAAAAAAGAGCAAGCATAGCAGACACCTGGAGGCGAGCAGGGCAAGTCCACTGTTCAAAAGTCTAAAGACAGCCCCAGCCACATAAGAATCTCTTCCAGGCATGCCAGTCCCACCTGAACACACCACAGGACACTTCTTCACCTGTAGAGAGGCTTCAGGCCAAGGGACAAAAACTTCCAAGTTCACTGAGTTGCCAGGGCATGGCCTATTTCATCTCGAGGGCACATCAGGCCTGCCACCAGGGCCTGCAGCATCACCGAGTAGGCTGTCACACACACTATCACAATGGGACACCCTGGAGAATGGCAGGTAGCCAGCCCTGCCTACCTATTACTACCATACAGGCGGTTACACCCCTTGCTGGAACAAGGGGCCAGAAGGAGTGCTTCGGTTAGGTCCTGTCCAGGAAGAGGATCAAGACTCCAGGGGTGGGATCAAGACTCCAGGGGTGGGTGGGCTGTCAGAGAACATGCCTCTCTACCTACCTGCCAGGCTGGAAGGACCTTCTCGATGTCATTCAGGTTGATGCCATCCCCATCTTCCAGCTTCCCTTTGCCACACCTGGACCAGAAAAGACAGAAAGGCATTGGAAAGATGGCTCATTCATGCCTCCTGTCCCATCCGGCCAGCAGGAGAGGAGGAACAGTCAGCAGATACCTGGTGCTGCCCACCCTCAAGCCCTGCAGAATCAGCTGTCCCACCTAGAGGAAACAGCCCTAGAGATGGTGGCCAGGGGTAGGGGTGGGGGCTCCTCCCCTAATGCAACAACCAATCTGGAGGGAGGTGGGAGAGGAACCAGAGTTCCCCTTGATCCTTCCAGGCAGAGAAGCTAAGCTCCTTACTCATCACAACACCTGTCAAAGCCCATCCACCTTGCCCCATTACACCGGACAGAAGATTAGCGGACAGAGACACCAAGCAACTTTCTCAAGGTCACACAGGCTGGCAGGGCCTAGCAGAAAACGCAACAGGGCTTCCTTCCTTCTTGGCTTGACTCTGGGTCAGTCCAGCAGGCCCACTCAGAATCTTTGGCATATTTAAGGATGCAGATTCCGAAACCAGATTCCCAGGGTTTGAATCCCCGCAGCATCCCTTACCAACTGGGGACCCTGTATAAGTTGTTTAACCTCTCTGTACTCATGTCATCAAATGAGTTTCCTCATCTGGATGATAGTGTCTAACATCTTAAGGTGGCTGGAGGATTAAATTAATTAATGTATCTGGAGCGCTTAGATGCTTAGAATCATGACAGCACACAGTAAACAGTACCTATACACACACATATACACATATATAGCCGAGCTTATATATATATAAAATGCTTAGCTTGTTTATGTTTATATATATGTGTGTGTATATTACTTGTGTATCTATTATCATCTGTATTTACCATTAAATATATCTTAAACATACACACATATGTTTAATGGTAAATACTGGTAATAATAACAAAATTATAATAAAATAAATAATGAACTAAATATATTACTACTACTATGACTACTTTCATTACCACTAATATTGTTGCTGTTATTTGGGCAAAGAGGCAGGAAGGTGATTAATTAAGGACACAGATTCTGGAGCCAACTCAGCCTCATGCAAATTACTCAATTTCTGGGTCTCCTAGTTGCTTCATCTATTGAAATGAAGGTGATAACAGTTCCTCCCTCTCTGGGTGGTGGTAAGTTTTAAATAAATGAGGCAAGCACTTAGAACAGGGGCTGGAGCATGGCCGGTGCATAGTAAGTACTGTCAGTTACAATTATTACTGGTATTGACTGAGGATTGGTGAGAGATGTCCCATGAGTTGGGTCATTTTACAGCTGCAGAGTTCGTGCGAATCTCACATTTCAGAATAACTAGTTCATTGTTTAAATATTTACCAAGCATCTCTTCTGTTTTGGGCCTTGTGAACAAAAACAAATCAGTTTTGGTTCCTGCCCTCAGTGGATGGCTCTTAGAACAAACCCTAAACTCCTCTAACAGGGCTGGGTGCCTGAGCACCATTAGGGGGCAGCACGAGATCAGTGTCATAAAAGTCCTACGGCCAGAGGCGCCCTGGAACCCAGAGGAGGAGAAACTGGCTGCAAACACTAGCAAAGGCCTATGTGGAAGAGAAGAACAGGGGGCTGACCCAAGCCCCATTTGATGGCTCATTTCTCCATTCACCAAACACTTCTGTGCCAGGCTCCGGACAGGGTCTGGGACCCAGGTGTAAACGGTGCACACAACTGGCCCTCTCGGTGTCTGGCGGGATAATCAGCCCCTGCAGTACAGCAGCCAGTGGCCTGTCGGGGGCAGGAGAGCAATGCAGAAACCCCAAGGAGCAGCATCTAGAACTGTCTTGGGCGAGGGGCGGTGGGAGGAAGGTGAGAGGTGAGCTGGCCAAGCACAGGGAATTTGGGAGGATGTCCCAGGCGGATGTGGCGCAGGCAAAGGCCTGGAGTTAGGAGCGTGTGTGGTGCCAGTTTGCTGTGGCTGGAGCATGTCGGGGGTGGGTCAGGGTGCAAGGGGTAGGCAAAGGGCATAGTGGAGCTGGGGTGGGGAATAGTGTGCAAGGTATAACAGGCATGAGGGAAAAGAGAAAAAGTTTGCCCTGGCCCCCGGCTGTCCCCACAACTGTGATGTGCTGGGGCTACAGGCGAGCAGGTGGAGAAAGGCCTGGAACATCCAACATCTCTTAACTCATCAATCTGCCTGGTGCAGACAGGCTGGCCTGTGAAAGCACCAACTGCGTGTAATCTTCTGTGTTCTGTACCCGCCTGGGCCATAGGGGAGGAGGGCACTAGGGACTCAGCTCGACTAGAACGGCTAACACCACCTCCCTAGTGTCTCCTGTGGGTAAAACACACCTCAGGACTCTCCCACGTGTGCTGAGCTCCGAGCACACGCTGGGCACCAGCCTAGCACACTCCAAACACAGCCTTCTGTTTTCACCTCAGCACCCCTGGGGGTGGGCAGGGGGAGGCCTGCAGGGAGGGCTGCTGTCCCACAAGAGGGCGGAAGGTGGCTACAGACCAGCTGAGTCACTGCTGCCAACAGGGTTTCCAAGGCAACAGCCTTCTCTGATTTCTGTCCCTCCATGGAAACACAGGCTGCCGTGAGACCTGGCAACCGAGTGGTACCTGCATCCCAGGGAGGCTGCAGTGGCTGGTGTGTGGAACGAGTCCCCACTACAGCAGGACTCTAAGGGGGACACAGTTCCTGGTCTGGCCATGAGGTGGCCACAGATACTGCACTCAGACTCCCTGGGAACCTGGGAGTGACAGGCTTTGGCTAGTGAGCCAGATGTCCATGGGAGATCCCAGGTGACTCTCAGCAAATCTGGAGGCTCCTGGTGAGAGACTGAGACTGGCCGAGGAATTCAGGCCCACAGCTGGTGACACAGGTGTGGCTGGTTACGCTGGCTTCAGAAGAGACAAAGTCCCTCGGCATAAGGGGACTTCCTCTCCTTCATAGTCATTCATCACTTTTTTTGCTAGGAAGTTAGTTCATTTCTGGGGACTCGTGAGACACCTTTGGCAAGCTCGCCTTCAACATGCAGGCCCCATTGGGCACCTGTAGTCAATGAGGCAGCACCATCGCTTCGATCCCCCCAGGCCTTCGATCCCCCCAGGCCACTGACTTCACCAGCTGTGTGCTCCTGGGGCACACAGGAGAGACTGGCGCTGCCCAGGGAAGTCTCCTTCCTGAAGCCTTTCCCAGATGGTTCAACCTGTAAAGTGTTCTCCTTTCTAATCCCTTTTGCACTGAGTTTATTTAACCCTGCACCAGGCATCACACTTTATACTTCCTAGTGTCTATATGTCTACACTGCATAGTCTAGTCTATATGTCTACACCGCATAGTCTAGTCTTTCTTCCCCTACACAGTCTCCATCATGAATGGGTTCATGTCTCCTTTTCCCAGTAGATTGAACAGTCCTTCTGGGCAGGGACTATATTGTATACTTGTGTGTGTGTGTGTGTGTGTGTGTATGCCTACTTTCCTGGCATCCAGCACCATGCAGGGACCCAGCAGGTCTAGTGACAGACTAGCTACACTGAACTTGAGAAAAGCAAAATCCTGCTCCTATTCCTGTGGCATACCCGAGCTCCACTGCACTGCTACAACAGGACACAGGGCAAGCATGACCTTTGCTCACAACCCCTTCCTGAAGCTGACCCGCTGAACAAGGTAAGTAAGGCCATCCTTCCTAAGCACAGAAGTGTGGAGGCCCAGCCCTGGGCAGCTCAGCAGCCTGGAAGGAGCATGGCCTCCCTGCAACTGAATGAGTGGTCTGAGCAGGCAGCGTGCAGGGTGGATGGGGTAAGGCAGGGTCGGGAGCCTCGCGGTTGTGTCTCTCCTATGCTCCATCTTAACTGGTGCCTCCATGCGCAAAGCCATCTCTCCCTCGTCATCCAAAGAGAAATGGAACCCACAACAGGCAGAGAAATGAAAAAAGGAGGGGTGTGAGAGGTTGGTGTCTCCTGGGAGAGTCTGATGCAAGTGATGGGCCTCTCCCCAGCAACACACACGTGTGAAAGCACACATACAAATTTGCAGAAAATTTTAAGGAGGTTAAGAATACCCTGATGTGATGAACTAGGGGTTGGACGGTGTCAGAGGCCTGGCCTTAAATGATGGCTCTGTTATTCAGGCAAGTCACTCTGCTTCTCTGAGTGTTGTTTTCCTCATCTCTAAAGTAGGAATGAGCCCATTTCTTTCCACGGGTTGTTGCTCATTACACTACAATGGGACCAGTGCTGCCAAGAGAAGAGGTTGGGTGGGACAAATATAGCAGCAGGAAGACCTGTGAGATGTAGTATAGTGTCCAATAAAGTCACTAATACTTAGATCTGCAGTGAAAGGGAGACAAGAGTGAGCAGGGGAGGGCTGGAAGGAAAAGTAAGGGTCATTAGTATCATAATAAAACACAAACAAACAAAAACCAAGAAGAAAAGAAAGCACAAGTGCTGGTGGGGATGTGGAGAAATTGGAATCTCATATGTGGCTGGTATGAATGCAGAATGTTCAGCTGCTATGGAACACAGTATGACAGTCCCTCAAAGAGTTCAACAGAATTACCATATGACCCAGCAATTCCACCCCTAAGTATATACCCAAGTAATTACAAGCAAGGATTCAAACAGATACAGCAGTATTTTTGACAATAGCCAAAAGGTAGAAACGACCCAAGTAAGGATTGACAGATGCATGGGTAAACAAATTGTGGTATATCCATACAATGGAATAGTATTCAGCCATGAAAAGGAATAAAGTTCTGATACATGCTACAATGAATGAACCTCAAAAACATGCCAAGGGAAAGACGCCAGGCCCAAGAGGTCACATATGACTCCGTTTCTGTAAGTATCCAAAATAGATCAATTCATACAAACAGAAAGCAGACTGGTGATTGCCAGGGGCTGGGGGTGGTGGTGGGATGGAGAATAATTGCCTAGTGGGTATAGGGTTTTATATTGGGATGATGAGAATGTTTCAGAACTAGATAGACATGGTAGTTGCACAACAGGGCGAGCATACTAAATGCCAGTGGATTCAACACTTTACAATGGTTAATTTTATAGTATAAGAATTCTGCCTCAATAAAAATTATATAAAACTATAACAGAAGTAGCAGCCATTTGTTCCACACCACTGTGTCTGGCTGGAGTCACATTACTGTCCTGAGGTTGGCCCAGGCCCTCACACCACTTTTGAAAGGGGAAGGCAACACTGACACACAAAGTCATAGAGGGTGAGAAAAGCCAGCGTAAAATCAGGCACGACACCGGGGGCTCCCCAAGTGTGGTCCCTGGACCAGCATCAGCACCTGCTGGGGAACTTGTTAGAAACACATATCCTCAGTCTGCGCCTACAGAATCAGAGACTCCGGGGTGGGCCTGTCCTCTGTGCCACTGCCCAGGTGATTCTGCTGCACTGGCCTGGATTACTGACAAGCAGGGCCACTGTGGGCCATCAGGAGCAGGTGGGGATGGCTTGGCTAGAGGGGGCTGGGCAGAGGGGAATGGAGCGATTCCGGAGAAGTCAGTGAGCCTGCAGCTCTGGGCCGCACAGGAAGAGCATGCCGGGGCATTAGCCACCTGAGTCCCCTGTGCAGCAGAGCAGCCTCCCTGTGGAGGCAAAGACCACTCCCGTCCCCTGCCCCACCTCTCCCTGTGTAAGAGTCTCGGCACCCCCTTACCCTTCGCGGTCGATGTGTGGCAGGGGCTGCTTGGGCGTGTGTCGGACTTTCCGGTGGAACTGGGTGAAGTCCAGCTTTTCCGGCTGCAGGTCCCAGGTGGCACCACTAGAGGGCGAGGGAGGGTGAGAAATCGAGACAAGAGGGCAACAGCCCCGTTTGGGCCAGGGCGAACCTGGCAGAGCAGACCCGCAGAAAGGGGCCGCCAGGGGCCAGGCGGGGACCCTCACTCAGAATGGAGCCCCAGGTGCCACCCCTCACTTTCATCACCCTGCCATGGAAAGTGCATACTTATGAAACAATTGTGGGCCTGGTGCCCATTGCACAGCGGCCTCTGCAGCACCTGAGTGTCTTTTCGTGCCCACATTTGAGGAAGGCTGGGGAGAGCAAGGGGCCAAATGCTGTTCTCCAGCCTCTGACAAGTAGCTCACAGTGACGACCCGGCCACCCTGAGGTAGATGAGGCAGGCGAGTGGGAAGCGGGGCCCATCCTCTGCAGCCCCATCCCGAGGGCCCTCCCCATGCCTCTACTGTCTCCTCTGACACTCACCGCCTCCTCTCTCCAGCCTCCTTCTTTCCACCCCATCCTTCCTACATCCCCCGCTCTGCTGCTTCTCTCCGCCTCTTGCTCATGAACCATCAGCTTTCACACAGCCCCCCAAGGAAGCTAGGGTCCCTGGCTGGACCTCACACCACAGGGAAGGAGGAGGAGGAGGTTACCTGAAGGAATCGAAGGTGTTGGCCGCCCAGATGTCCGTGCCCAGCATGTCCAGAGAGCTGTCTTTGCTGCCATTCTGGAAGAGATGGGGGTGAAAGGGCTGACATTAATTGCTCAGCCAGGATGCTGAGAACTGAGAACGCGGAGCCTGGGCCTGAGAGGGCGGCAGAAGCCTCCCTGTCTCCCTGGGTGGCTGGGAGGCTGCAGTGAGCCCCCAAGTGAGTATGGCAGCTGGTGCACCCAGTCAGAGTCGGGGGACTGCCCGGGGGTCTTCTGGCCTCCCCCCAGGCATGGGCCCTCGTTTCACTGAGGTTTTGTAGATGTATACATTAGGGTCCAGGCCCCTGCTGCCCCCAGCCCATGGCTCTCTCCTCAAAGCCTCTACACCCAGCAGGGGCTCTGTACTACCCAGAGCCACCATCACCACTGCCAGCCTGATGGCAGCGGCTTCTCCCCAGGAAGGGGCTCTGCAGAGTGAGGCCCACTGGGGAGCCCATGGAGGCTGCCTTCCTTCACAGTTCAGTCCTACTCCCCAGAAGTCCCCAACCAACCAAGGCTACACCAGCAACTGGATTTCTCCAAGTCAAACTGATCCTCCAGTGTTCCCTATGTGACCCACCCAGAGACAGAAACCTCTTTACTCAATGCAGCTTCTATGATTTGGTTTCTCTGCTCTCTGGCTGGTGAGCTCCTGGCAAATTCTCCAACCCCCTGACCACGCGTGATGCCCTCCAGCCCTTCTTACCCCTGTAATCTGGTTTCCATCATCACACTCTTTAAAACAATACTTCCACATCCACCCAAGCTGAACGTGTGCATGCCGTATGACCCAGAAATTCACTCCAAGGTATAAACACACAGAAATGTGCCCAGAGGTTCACCAAAAGACATGTACACAAAGCGTATACAGCAGCATCAGCCATTACAGCTCCAAACTGGAGAACACCCACATGCCTGTCATCGGCTGATTCGATAAATAAACAGTGGTATGTTCACATATTGGAGTACTACACCGCAGTGAGCACAAACAAAGTAAAATAACATGCAACAATATGAATAAATATCACGAGCATATAGGGAATAAAAGAACCCAGATGCAAAAAAGAACCAATTATGTTCAGGAACAGGCAAACTAACAAATGTATAGTGAAAGAACTCAGATAGTAACTGGAAGGGGAAACCAATGTACTTTCCAGAGAGAGAGTGGCAGAGAGTGAGCAGCTTTAATTAACTAGAAGGAGAGGGCACAAGAACCGGAAAGGCTGGACAGTCCAGCCTCCAAGCAGGGGAGCAGGTACTCCAGCCCCCACAGACAGGAGGCAGGAGGTAATGAGAGCCTGGAGGAGAGGTGGAGGGCTCATGGGGTCAAAGGGACAAGGGGACTCTCTGGGGAGAACCAGCTGGGCTGTCTGACTCTGGGCAAGTCCCTCAGCCTTCCTGGGTCTCATTGATAACATGAGGACTGGTCCCTCCCTCTGGGCACCAGCAGCCTGCAGCCTGCAGTTCTAAGTAACTCGAAACTTCCTCGTTCCAGGATGCCCTGAGAGCTTGCACAATCCTTTCTAGCAGATCAGTCACATTTATTCAGGGCCGCCATAGCCTTGGGTGCTTCCTCCCCATGCCTTTCCTGTCCCATCCCCGTAATCCCCTTCACTTCTGACCGTGGCCTGTCAACTGGGCCTTCCTCCCCTCTTGCCCTCTCCAAATGTGCCCCATCTATCAAAACTTGGCTCAGCCAGGAAGCGCCTCTGGCCTCCCAAACTGCAGTCACCTCGCTCTGCCCTGAACTTGCCATCTGTGTGGGGGACTTACAGTAGCAGAGCCAGCCTCTTGCAGCTCTCACTTCTATTTCCTGTAGTGACCTCTCTCCCGAAGGAGATAGCGGGCCTTTGATGGCAGGGACCCCTGGGTTCCCCAGAGCTGGAAGCTCAGTGCTCCTGACATATACTGCAAGCGATTTTCACCATCTTCTTTAAACATGTGTTTTCTTTTTGCCTCAATAAGCTGTGTGACCTCGGCAAAGTCACTTCACCAGTCTGGACTTCAGATGCTTCATATTTAAATAAAGAGATCCCAGAGTGAAATACCATGCCCTGTAGATGGGCTCCTTCTGACTGGCATGTGTGTTGCTACCATCCCCTCTCCTGCCAGTGGCAGACATCACTAATCAATTACAGCATGGTTGCCAGTCTTCCAAGCAGGTGGCCTTTAATGTTCTAGGATCACCCTCTCTCCCTTTTCTTCGAGTTGCCTCACATCCTCCCCATTCCAACTCCTGGGGCCCTGCTTGCTCCAAATGCAACTCTGAAACTCCAGGTCAGCTGGAAAGACTCACCTTGTATCACACAACCCCCAAGGGGACAGCCCCTGCCTCCCGAGATGTTGACTGGCTTGTTCACAACCCCCTCCTGGGCCTCGAATGTAATTGTCATTGGGGATAGCAGCCAAAAATAACATCGAAAGCAAATATAAAAATAATCAAACATGCAAACAAAACTCTTGCTTCCAAAGCATCTATTGCAGACCTCACGCAGCATACAGTTCATTTTCCTCCTTCAGCTCAGTGACCTGAAGTCCCTCCCTCTCCACACGTGTCTTCCCTGATCCCTGACCTGTTAAATACCCAATGTTCTCTGGCATCTATAAATTCAGCTTCAGTGGATCACCTCTTGGTCACTGCTCTCTTACATGAGTGTTGGACCTTCCCCAAGTAGACTGTAATCTTCTCCACTGGACTGTCTCTTTCTCTTCATACCCCCACAGTGGCCAAGCCAGGCACACAGGAGGGCCAGTTTGGATTCCTGCCAACTGATCGAAGGGATGCCACTCTGTAATGGGAGGAAGCGTGCCCCTACTGCCTCTGTGGCTGAAAGACTGACTCAAGATTAGGATGTCAAGATTGATTTACTGTCCTAGGATCTGAGGCCCTTAAGGCCCCTAAAGAGTCAGAAACGTGGGTGGAGAGAGAGAGAGCAACTACGTAGAGAAGGTCATGGCCAAACCCAGAAGTGCAAAGCATCTTCCAGGAAAAGGGTGATTCACCTTGAAGGCAGTTGAAGGTCAGTACAGATGGGCACATAAATTTCCCTCCTGGTCTGGAGGTTGGCATCTCAGCTACTATTCCTCAACTGGCAGGGAGGGAGGACAGGTCACAGTAACAGTCACTAGCAGCAACTGTGAGGGGGCCAATGCCCCTGTGCAGAGAGCTCTCTGCCTGGAGGAGGCAGCACTACCATTGGGCTAAGGGAGGTGACTGGGCAGGGCAAACCTGGGCATTTCCAAAGCAGTATCCCTGGCGGGGGAACCACCAATCTCTGGACTTCCAGATTCTTGGGGTCAGGGAAATGTGCTCCTGGCTGATGGGAGGGAAAGAGCCAGGGCAGAAGCTGCGCCTGCATGTGTGTGTTTATTCTTTACAGAGGAAACCCACCCTTCTCTGCATCTGTAGAACAGCTTTGTGATCAGCTGCTGCCATCTCTGTGTTGGGGGCGAGAAACAGGAGCCTGGGGAGAGGGGCCATGGCCCAGCTGGGGAGCAGGTGCTGAAGTCACAGTGGCAACCAGTGCTCCTCCAAGAGCCATGGCAGTCACGCAACCAACACACATCACAGGTGACGGACTCACACATTTTCCTCATTGAATCCTCACAACTCCTTACAACTCAGAGAACATATCCCTGAATGATATCAAGAGCCTAAATCCGTATTTAAATGCCAAGAAACCCAGCAATATCCCTGCCATTCCCAGCACACACCATACTCCTTGAGCCACCCCTACTCTGCAACTCAGCCTCCTGACTCCTGTGTGAGCCACGGACCATCTCCTTCCCCAGGCTGGAAAGCTCTGCACCAGGCTGCTTCTCCTTCCTCTGTCGCTCTGCCCCGCAGGTCACCTTGGGCCTTTGGGCCGGGTCTCACCTCTCCTTTGCCACAAGACTTGAGTCTTATTATCTCTCACACTAACCTGCCTCCTGCCTCATTCCCTCCCCTGTGATGACTGCAACTCTGATTCTCAGAGCTGAGGAACGGAAGTGCCAGCATGGTGAGCCCTTTAAAAACCAAGGAGCCAGGCCCCATCTTTGCACAGCCCCAGGGAGCACTGGAGGTCACAGCTCCAGGAAAGAATATCATGTGCACGGCACCCCCGGAACTGTGAAACTCAGCAGCCCTAGAGGAGGCAGCAGGTGGAGGTGACAGCACTGAGAAGAACGAGGACCCCAGCCACTGAGCTGGACACACAGAGGAGAGTGGTGGGCAAGGCATCAGGCCTCTCTGTCTGAATATCAGGAAGGAGAGCACCACGAAGACTAGGGGCCTGGCAGATGAGAAGCTGAGTCTCTGGAGAAGTAGGTATAGGGCAACACCTTGGACACCGGGGCCATGCTCTTTATTGCCACTCTACTTGATACAAGAACTGCAGTGCATATCAAGAATCTGGACACCTCCTTGGAGTTTGTTTCAATGGCACAAGACAAGCATATAACCATGAAGGCAAACTTTCATCAACAGGGGCTGGAGAAACAGCCTGGCACGTGGAGAAGACATCCATCTCCTTCCAGCCTCAGCCCAGAGCAGGAAGAGTCTCAACTGCAGAGCTTTCCTTTGCTGTCCCTTGATGCTGAGGTGGTGGCCCAGGCAGTGCCCAGGGAACCAGGCTTCACTCAACAGAGTTATTAACTGCCAAGCTAAACTGGACAACCAGGAGCCCAATGGCTTCACATGCCCATCCTCAGGGCCCACTTGCCCTGGGCTGAGAGCACCCAAGTGGCCACTCTGTCACCCAGCCCTGCCACATGGCTCTGGAGCCAGACAAATGCTTATAGTCATACAAGTGCCTGGATAGCCCCCTTCTTAGGTCCTGAACTCCAGCCTTCAAACCTTGCAGCCCCTGACACACACACATGCTACATATGCATACATGTACACATGCCACAGACACATATACACACATACATACCACACACATGCATATACATGCTAGACACACAGACAGATCCACACACATTCACACAATATGTGCCACACGTGCATATACACATGTACATACCACACATGCATAGACATACCACACAGACACA